TTACGTAAATAGCCACAGAGGCCGAAGGGTACAAGGGAAATATGATATTTAAGGTAAGCCAGGCTTTACAAATATCATATCTATGGTAGGAGTCTCAATGAAGCAAACATGTGTTTTCCATTGTAATTGACGATGCTACTTATTCCCAGTGTAAGTACGTTACTCGAATATCTGTAATTGTTGAACAATAACTGGATCAGGCCAGGTTGTTTGGGCTACCCTAAAGACAATATACTAAATAGGGCCAAGTATATCGTTGAATTTCATATAGCTTTACCACTTGAAAGGTCTTATTGTCCAGATGAAGAGACGCAAACGAAATTGAAACTGTAATCCAGGCAGAATAGAGAATGCTAATTAACATCAAATGGCTCCATAAAATTTGCTCATGGCATTGTGGGAAAAGCTTAACTAGCATAGAGTGACTGAATTCTAATCGAACTGAAGAGATAAGGGACTTTATTGAGTTTGATAAGTTTGACAAAACCACTTTTTATTAATTGCCAGACCGCCTCCTACGAAATGACGCCGACTCAACTGATCCGTTCATTTATATTTCTAACGGCAAACTTAAATTTTGCATACCTGATTTCACAAGGGAAGCTCACTGAGTCAAAAAAAAATGAATTAAGGATTAGATCTGATCCAAAACAAGGCTGTTAAATATCAGTCACCAATTATGGATGTTACATTAAATCAAACTCATCAAGGCCGATTACTTATAATTTCCTACTCGTACACTCACATACGTATGCAAACATTTTTCATCTACCGAACTTAAATGCTATTCTATTAAGTGTAGCAGATGGGCATAAATTGGTTAGTTTTTTTTACTAGTTTTCAACTTAGAATTTCTATTAGAATGGGATTCAGCTTTGATATTCTCTGCCAATTGGCAATACAGACGAAATATCAGCCTGTTTGTCAAAACCAAAGTATAGCGTCTCGAGAACTGTGGCAACCTGAATATATAACAATTGCAAACCAAAGAGAGTCCACCTTCGTCCTCTGATAAAATCGACCAACAAATCTCTTCACAACAATTTCGCATGACCATCCAAATTAATGCCGTGCACAAGTGGATCTGCAGTGGAAGCCCACAGTCAAACTAACGAGATTGGTTTACGCGAGAAAATAAGATCATTTAGATAAATTAAAACAGCTAAATAATGCGTGGTGCACTAGTAAATAATTAATAATTCGTTTGTTCTGCAAACGTATCGAAAGTTTAATCACTCCAAAACGGAAAAAAATGAGTCAGAGACAAATACGATATTTCATATTACGTATGAGTGTGTATCTAAACCATCCGTAATCCTTGAATAATAACTCAATCAGCCCTGATCGCTAAAGGTGATCTAAAGACTGATAGTTGAGTTTGTCTCTCAACGAACTGAGCAGGCCTCAGAACACCACTGAACCTTGCCTAGCTCTGTCTCTCGAAAGATTTTCTAATCACGACTGGATAGCACTTTCAACTTGGTCAGTCTGACTCGGGATTCGATACTGAGCCGTGCATAGCTTGGCTCGTCGGGTAATTCAACGCCACAAATAGCTGAGGAAAACCGATACAATAATAAAGATATAAATAAAAAAAGAGATTTTTCAAATTAAGTATTGTTTTCGTGACTACCAGTAAATCAGTAGTATGA